TATTCAATTCTGGACAAATGTTTATTTTATGGTAACTTCAAATACAATACGCTTTTCAACGAAGTTACACAAAATAATGGACGTTCATTTTAAATATAACTATTTCTAAAAGTTTGACATGATATTAATCGTGTTATTAAAATACAATAATTGGTAATATTGTGTTATAGAGCGTTTTCACATGACGTCATGGCGGCTATATTGGTGTTCCAAAACAATAAAACAGCAGCCATGTTGGTGTAACAAACTTTGTAAACTAACCCTTTTGTTTCAAATAATTTGCATAGATGGAGGTCACGTGAGTGAAAACGCTCTATTATTTGATTAAGATTTGATTTTAATTAATCCTTGTACAAAGAAGATGGAGTAAGAGACAATTAGGCCATAAGATTTACTGTAAAAAGAAAACAATGAAATGAAAGGGGTGAGCTTGGAAGTTGAGACCATTAGAAGCAGAATTAGTATTAATTTGTGCTTAAGGTGATTTAGGTTTTTTTATACATAAGGCATATGATTTTTAAAAGCAATAAAACTCCTTCTTAGACTTTCACATTTTGGTTCTAATTGTGGTTTTTTCCTTACAAACTTAAAGAGGGCCACTGTGCAGTAGAGCCACAGTCAGAGGTTTTCACTTGTTTTTTTTTTATCAACTTCACCTCTATAATTGAATTAAAACAGTAACCTTGTCAAGATGTACCTGTACTGGTGCAATACATACACTGTGCTTGGCATTAATAATGCAGGTCTGCATAATACAGAATTGACTGTAAAATAAGAATAGAAGTTGAAAACAGTCACTAATATTATTGGCCACTGACCTGTTGTTGACTGCTGACTGCCCATTAAAATCATGGAAAGAGCAATTTGGAGGAAAATGGCTTGAATAAAATGATGAATTCCTCGGCAAGCCATGTAATGCTTTCAGCTGCTGCTTTTTTCATAACTACAAGGTGACTCCAGAGATATGCACAACTGGACTGAAAACGAATAACCACAACACAATCAGTCATTAAAATAATGATGAATATGATGAAATTCTTGTAATAAACTGCAGAATGAAGAAATACAGTTACAGTTACAGTTTACGATGCAACTAACTGCATGCTATGATCTCCTTGCATTATTTCACGCTTGTGAAAAATTTAAAGTCAAGTTATAGGCAGGTCTAATCCAGGCTCAATTACCAGTTACTGTTCAGGAAATGACCCCAGACTCCTCCCCCCAAAAAGGGATGGACACCTGGGTTTGCTATTGTTGATTTCCACCAATCAGATAGATAATTGCCTGCTCAATTGCATCAATTATTTTTCCCGATGCAGTTTTCAAACAGCTGATGCAAAGGTGTTTTTTTTTTTGGGGGGGGGGGG